GATGAGATGGCGCACAGCTTCCGACATCTCCTCCGACTGCTTCGAGTTCGCCAGCATGGTCTTCAAGCTGCTTCCGAACAGCGCGTCCGATGAGATGGGGCCCTCCATCAAGTCCTTGTGCAGCTTTTCCGGCAGCAAGGGAGAGTGACGAAGCCAGGTGGAACGTTGGATTACCGTCATCCACGCTGCAATCCTCGACAGGCAAACCGTGGAAGCGGCGCACATGTTGAGGATGGCGTCTGCCGATTTACACAGGGAGCTCTTTGTCTCCTCCGGCAGGTCTAAGGCCTCCAGCCTTTTCGACATGCTAAATGCTAGCAGCGCTGCGTTGTTGCTAGCTGCGGCCGCCTGAAAAGCACACTGGTGGGCTCTGTTGGAGAGCGCGGTCACCGCCTGGTCGTGTTTCCCCGGAGGGACGGGACGCTTCTCCAACCTGGACAGCTTCGCTCCAAAGGCTTCCGCGAGGCTTGGCTCAAGGGGGGGTACCGAGGGATAGCCCCGCTCGGTGAACCCCTCCACTCTGGTGATGGGGGCGTAAGTGGAGACGGGCGCCCTTAACCTACCAGGACCGGCCGCGGCCTCGTTCCAGTACGATGTCCCCGCTGGAAAACGAGGCCAAATGGGATCAGGACGGCGAGCCGGCGTGGAGCCAAACCTTCCCGCAAGATCATTCGATCTGAGCGGGGGGGACGGAGAGCCCCTTTACGTTAGCAGCTTCCCGGATAATGGCGGGCAGCTCCGAGAGGAGCGCGCCGACGGCAGGGAGCGGTGTGGTCGTTGAAGCGGGAAACCCCGGGGGAGTCGAGCATCCGCTCGGCCTCCCTCTTTCCAACACTGCACTCCCCGGGAGGGAACGAGTGTCGGGGCTGCTGCTAACGTCACCGGTCCCAGAGGAATCATCCGATTCACTCCGAGAGCCGGCGTTGAAGAAATCCATGGCGTCGTCCAGCGAGCAGTCTCCCGCCACGGACAGGCAGTCCTCGATGGTAGCTTTAAACAAGGCTGCTCTCCTCTGCCTTTCCTCCGGTGGAAGTTCGTCACAGAGGCGGCAGGAGAAAGCGCGGGCGACGTGGCGGGGACCCAGGCATCCCTCGCAGGTGTCGTGCCGGTCGAAGCTAAGCAAGTAACCGGTCTTGCAGGAGAGACACAAGCGGATGGTGCTGGAGCTGGACATGATGAAAAGGTCAGTTGTTTTATTATATTAGCTTGCTGAAGAAAAATGGGAGCAGATTACCCGCTCTTAATGTAATTTATACGGATCGGGTGGGGCCCACACAGCAGGTGGGCGTGGACTAATTTTTTCAGTATGATGCTTGCGCATAACGGGATAAACCCATCAGCGACAGCCTTAAAGGGCGAAGCCTATATGACATAGAACTCAAGATTTTGATCAGTTTTACTCCCCACTGCCTTTAGGGCATATCAACCAAGGTTTAAGCCAATCACTCAAAATCCCTAGGAGGAGGTCGTTAAAATTAGTCATGTATAAAAATTGAGAAACGCCCAAAAATGACCATTTGAACCAAAATGGTCGACTTCTTGTTGGGTTTGGACCAGGGCTCCAAGAGCCTTTTTCCATAGTTCCTGGATAGCTACAGATGTAAACATAGTTTCAGAATTATCGGTCAAAATATGGCTTGGGGCTGAAGTTTTAAAATATTGGAGGCTATTGGCCACTTATCATAAATTCCTGTTCAAGGGATGGACAATGATCAATCTTACTGATTTTGGTGCACCTCAGCTCAAAACTGTGGAATTTAGAGCCAAATGTATGGCGACAGCATTACGTCTTACTTCGAACCATGCCGCGACGCCCACATCCTCCACCGCAAACTGTCAGTGTTAGAAAGCAAGTTACACCAACATGTCTTCGATCACTGGACACATTATCATTGCTGGTTAGGTCACAGGGGTCAGAAACTTGACATTTCCCGTTCTCAGTGGACGCAGCTTAAGTGATGTGATTATGATGACCCTTTGGTCTTGCAGGGGACTGGATGTGGCTCAATCACTCAAGGTTGGATGTCTCGAGCAGTTTTCGTGTAGGAGCTATTAGCGTTTTGTTTTTCTTGGAGAGATGTCAAACTTTGAGGTCAGGCCCCGCCCCTTCAGCATGCTCGAAGTCTCACCATTTTGATCACTTTTCGTTCCCAATGCCTTATGAACAAAATGACCAAGTTGGAAACCGATTGAGCAAAATCCCTAGGAGGAATTCGCTCAAATGCGAAGGCTAAAAACCTAAAAAAAGTTGTGAAATCTGGGACCTCAATCCAAAATGGCCGTCTTCCTGTTTATCGTACAGCATTGATGCCAGAGGGTTTTCTGTGCATCTTTTGGAGTTGGACAAGTGTACCAAATTTCATGCTTCTACAACAAAGTAAGGTTAACGCGGAGGGTATTTTGAAAATTTACAGGTGGCACTGTTGAGCCGTTTCTGTTGTGATTTTTGAGACGCCCTTAAAATACGTCATTTTCACACAGTCCTGATATGTCCGCCAAATTTGGTGACTTTTGAGATACGTTTAGGCCTCCAAAAGGTCCATTCATTTGACGATTACAATAGGCCTTCGCAGCACTTTGCTGCTCGGGCCTAATAATAATGTGTATATGTTGTCATCATTGTATGTTCCCATACAATGGTGAAATTGGCTCTATGCATTTAACTCATCCACCACCAGGTGGAACAGTGGGTAGCTATTTAAGGTGCCCTGGGAGCATTTGGGGAAAGAGTGTCCTGCTCAGACACCCCGAGATGTGAAATAACTGGGGATTGAACCTGGGACTTTTGGGTCCCGAGTCGGCTGCCCTGCCTCTACCCCATCTCGGCCCCAAGATTGGACTTAAGACTTTCCTTTTTGATAATTCTTATAGTTAGGGTTGTCTGTAGGGTAGTCTTAAACGACTGGAGGACAAAATAACCTTGTTTCCTAAATGAATTGTTAAAATTCAATAGTTTTCATTTGATACTAGGGCGGCTGTGGCTGAGTGGTTAGAGCAACCGTCCTCCAATTCAAAATGTGGGGGTTCGAATCCACCAGCAGTCACATGCCGAAGTGTCCCTGGGCAAGACTGAACCCCTCATCGCCTCCAATGTGTGTCCCATCGGTGTATGAATGTGATAAAGCACTGATTAGACTCTTTAGAATGATTTGTTCAATTAGCTTTGTAGAGATGTAGTAGAGTGTTGTATGAATGGGCAAATGAGGACACAGATTATAGTGTAAAGAACTTTGAGTATCTCAATAAGATAGAACGGGCTATACAAGTACAGTCCATTTCCATTACTATTTTTATCTTAACGCGATTCTCAACCTGTCATTGTGTATCTATTCCTCCTTCCTGTTACTCTCAAACCCAGTCGGTCGAAGCAGATAGCCGCTTGTCCTGAGCCTGGTTCTGCAAAAGGTTTCTTCCTCATGAAGAAGATTTTCCTTTCCACTGTTATCTTCGTGCTTGCTCAGATGACAGGTCTCCAACGAAGTTAAATTCAAAGCAGTCTGATCCTCAGATAAATAGTGTTAACTTATATATATATATATATATATATATATATATATATATATATATATATATAAATGTTTCTGTTCAGTGCCCTGAGATGACTTCTGTTGTGACGGTGCTATATAAATAAACTGAATTGAATTGTTTTGAATGTGGGAGGCAAGCGAGCAGGCGCCAAAACAAAGTTTGGTGCTGGGGGGTCGTGGCAGCAAACGTAGTTCCGGGATGGCATAGATTCACGGTTTCAAAGTCTTCATAGCACAATGGATTAGTTGTTAGAACTGGGTTCAATCCCTGGTTTGGACCTGGGGTCTTTCTGTGTGGAGTCTGCATGCTCTCCGGGCACTCCAATTTCCTCCCACAGTCCAAAAAACATGCATGTTAGACTGCCTTCAGGCCCAGGCCTCCCTTGAAAAAGATATATGTGATTTTGATGGGATATGCCTGGTTAAATATATGTTAATAAAATAAATAAATAAAATATTTTGCATCAAAGTGATTGCTGCATTCAACTGACCTTGTAGGATGAGATTTAGCCACCTGGCCCTCTACTGTGGAACTATGGTTCTTCCCAGAGCCTGGATTGGCACTTTGTGAAAGTGGAGATCCATAAAGAGGCACATTTTGTCCCATAATACAGCATCTATCTGATGAAGTGGTCATCTGCTCTCAAAGTTATGCTTGATAAGCCATCAGCAGGGATCAGGTGTTCAGAGTACGCACTGAAGGCACAGCTAATTTGTAAGACTTTTCTGTCTGGTTGGATAGAAAGTATTTTCAAGGGGAGAAGTGGGGCTTCCTGTCAATATGGAGGTCTTTGGGTACAGGCACGCTGCAACCGCCAGCTCAAATGGAAGTTTTTGGTGAAGACCACACTTTCCATACATTCACAGTCCTGCCCACCACAAGGCATTTCTCTTTATAGGACTTGCTGTACAAGTAAGTAGACACTTGATTTCAGTTGGACTATGCTGGTTGACAAGCCACCAGACAGGGAGAACTGGCTCTAGTACAAGGACTATTTCACAGACTCAATGGCTCCCTGGGAATGTTTCAAGCCAAGGCACACTACACAAGTCTGGTGGTTGTCCCAACTTGAAATTCTGTTTTCACACAGGTAGGTTCATGCCTGTGAATTCTCTTTTGCTTTTGTGGAAGCCCTGATGTTCCAGGAATGTTTGGCTTTAAAGCTATGATGTAGCTGGCAACAGCTAAGCTATCTATGTGTGGCTAGGCTGTGGGGTGAGGTCCCCAGTGGATAGCTTGTACAGTGGGAGGATTGTTATTTTCGCACATCCAATGTCTTTTTTTAACTTATTCTTGCAAATGAAAACTTGGTCGATACAAGTTTGTTACTGCCACCCAGTGAGCAAGTTTGGAACTTCCAACATATGAAAGAGCAATATTTCTGCTAGGTACAAACTCTATTAATTTAACAGAAAATCTCTCACTCTTTATTGCTCATTTTTCTCTGTCCTGAGGCTGACTGCAGGACTGACCTGTAAGATTGCATTCAGGAGTTGCTGGTTTCACAGTCAGAACTTTTGGATCATTGTAGTCTCTGTTTTGTAAAAGCACCTTGGCCACAGATGGGCCACTGCTACTCGCAGAGTGGACAATGAGCAGGTGAAGCAGCAGGCGTTTGCAGTGCTCATAGACCTCTGGGTGCTGGTGATCAAAGCCTGAAAAGAAAGGATCAATGAAACTCTGTTAGCAAAATATCTAATAAACTGTTAGACTGATTTAGTGAAACTCTCAGAAAGAAATCACTGAATGTATATCCAAGTTAACACAATTAAAGATGGCTGCCACAGCAAACAATATTAGAAAAACAAACTTGCTATAACTCAGTCAGTTTTACAGATATGGAGCAAAGATTTTATGCAGTAGTAGTTGAGAGTATTTTCCATCACATCCTCAGCATACTAATACCGGTACATCACATTAGAGCTTTGCTTAAAACTTGGCCTGCATAAGAGTGTGCAATATGTATTCCTCCTAGGAATGAAAGTGTGTTTTTAATACAGCATGTCGAAATGTAATGACTCAGTAATGTCTATAAAACTATTCATAGTTAGGTTTGTGGAAAGTGTCCAAAGAGCCCAAACAGAAACAAATTACCTATAAACACAGCATGTAGCAAGAGATACACATAGGCACTCCACTCTACTTTTACTCCATGATCCACAATGAGGTCTGTCAGTAGGATGATTGCAATATTACACCTGAAAAACAGAAAATGTGCGTTGGGTCAACAGAAAAACATTATTTTGAAGTGAGAAGCTGTATTTAGAAAAAGGTTTAGGCAAGAAGAAATAGGACAGTGACAGGGCTGAAGAGACGAGACAGGAATTTAAGGAGCTGCAACGTAGAGCAAAGAGGGAGGTAGCTAAGGCAAAGCAGAAGGCATATGATGAGTTCTAATGTGAACTAATGCAAAGCAGAAGGCGAATGTCTGATGTTCTAATGTGACGAGAGCATGATGGGAAGATGAAAGTAGCACTTTGAGGAACTTATGAATGAACACAATGAAAGGGAAAGAAGGGTAGAGGTCATAAAAATTGTGGACCAGGAAGTGTCAAAGATTAGTGAAGGTGAAGTTCGGAAAGCTCTGAAAAGAATGAAGAAGGGGAAGGCAGTAGGACCTGATGACATACTAGTGGAGGTTTGGAAATGTCTTGGAGAGATGGCAGTGAAGTTTTTGACTCAAATATTCAATGACATATTTGAAGATGAGAAAATCATCTTAGGAATGGAGGAGCAGTGTACTGGTGCCCATTTTTAAGAACAAGGATCCTTGTACACGTACACATGTACACTCAGCACTTTGGTTGGCTTTGTTGCTGTTTTAAGTGCTCTATAAATAAAGTGGTATGGCATGGTATTGGTCATTGCCCTGCGATAGACTTGCGACCTGTCCAGGGTGCGCCCCGCATCTCGCACAGTGATAGCTGGACATGGGCACCAGTGACCCCCCACGACCCAAAAAGGACGAAGTGGGTAAAAGATAATGGATGAATGGATAGATGGGTGATGTACAGAGTTGTAGCAACTACAGGGGAATTAAGTTGATGAATTGCATGATGAAGATCTGGGAAAGGGTTGTGGAAGCTAGACTTAGACCAGAGGTGACTATCTGTGAGCAGCAGTATGGTTTCATGTCAAGAAAGAGCACCACAGATGCCATCTTTGTTTCGAGAATGCTGATGGAGAAGTACAGAGAGGGTCAGAACGTACTCCATAGTGTCTGTGGATTTAGAAAAAGCACACAACAGGGGGCTGAGGGAGGAGGTGTGGTATTACATGAGGAAATCTGGAGTGGCAGAGAAGTATGTTAGACTGGTACAGGACATGTATGAGGACAGCAGGAAAAATATGAGGACAGCAGGACAGTGGTGAGATGTGCTGTAGGAGTGACGGATAGTTTCAAGTTGGAGGTGGGAGTGCATCAAGAATCAGCTCTGAGTAGGGGTTGAACGACTACATAATTTTTAAACTCGACATTAACATAATAAAACTCGAGTAGAACTCGAGTACTTGATGACATCATAGATCTCAAGATACAAAAATAAATAAATAAATAAAACCGCAAAAAAAGGTAATTATTTACAAAAAAGACCAACAAAACATTGAGAGCATATATTATGCTGCTACCATTTATCATGCAGCAAATAAGTCACAGGAAAAACTAAACTATTAGTTTTTATTATTAAGCTGCAAACGTGAAGAAACGTGCAGCACGTCAAAACCGAAACTAAAAACAGTGGGGTGTTGACCTCCCCACACCACCGCCAGCTGTGGTGTGCATTAAGTTTAGTTTTAGAGGTTAATATGTTTATAGATTTTTTTTTATAGATTTAGAAATTAATATTTTTTGCTTTTTGTTTGTGAAACAAGGTCAGAGGAAGTTGGTTCTGGTTCGGTCGATTGGACCCGGTTTTACACCATACTCTGTGACCTGCAACAGTGCACGCAACACCGCCCCCTACGGTCACAAAATATGGTGCAACACCGGTTCGCAACGTGCTCCAAACAGTCAGGAAGTTGATTCATTTTCGGTTTCCTTACGGTAGTTTAATCAGAAGATTTATCTTTAGTGAAATATTTCCATACTATTGATGCATTTCTACCCGTTTGTCAAGACTGGGTCTGCTCTGCTCCATCCGTCTGCTTGGAGGAATCATTTTGTAACCCGCGCCCAGTGCGGATCACGTGACGCGATGACGTAACGGTGGCGTAATGATGTCACCACGAATACTCGACATGAAATTAAAAACCTCGATAGGTGTCCTAGGAATCGATGTGTAGATTACTCGAGTAGTCTGTTAAAGCCCTAGCTCTGAGCCCCTTCTTGTTTGCTCTGGTGATGGACCGACTAACAGATGAGGTCAGGCAGGAATCCCCGTGGATTATGATGTTTGCAGATGACATTGTGATCTGTGGTGAGAACAGGGAACAGGTAGAAGAGAACTTGGAGAGGTGGAGGTATGTACTTGAAAAATGATGAATGAAAGTCGGCCGTAGTAAGACAGCCGTAGTAAGACAGCCGTAGTAAGACAGCCGTAGTAAGACAGTACATGTGTGTGTGAATGAGAGGGAGGCTGGTGGAACAGTGAGGCTAGAAGAAGCAAAGGTCACAAAGTTCAGTTCAATTGAATTCAATTCAGTTTCAATTCAGTTTATTTATATAGAGCCATGGCACAACAGAAGTCATCTCAGGGCACTGAACATAAACATTCATATATATATAAAAATAAGTTAATAACATTACTTTTCTGAGGAGCAGACTGCTGTGAGTTTAACTTCATCACAGACTCTCATCTTGAGCAAGCATAAAGGCAACAGCGGAAAGGAAAAGCTCCCTCATGAGGAAGAAACTAAAGGTGCAGGACTTCAAGCAGAGGCCAGACTGTGATGGTTTGGACATGTCCAGAGGAGGGACAGTGTGTATGTTGGTAGCAGGATGTTAGAAATGCAGCTGCCAGGAAAAAGACAAAGAGGGAGGTTAAAGAGGAGATACATGGATGCAGTTAGAGAGGACATAGAGGTAGATGGAGTCAGGACAGAGGATGCAGAGGACAGAGTGAGATGGAGGAGGATGACTTGCTGTGGAGACCCCTGGAGTGGGAAAAACCGAAAGAAAAAGTGTACCTGTGAAGAGGCACCGCAGGGGTATTTGTCTCTGGCAAATAGTCCACTAGAGGAGCCCAACAGCCCCCTGATGGAGGGAAGGGGAGAGGCTCTGGCTGGTTGTGATCCATTACTTTTAAACGCCAGTTTGCATAAAGAGGCATGGAGTCACCTGGAGAGAGAATAAAAAAGCAAAAATAGTATTGGATGGTGGGAAAGAATTTTAAATTGTTCTTAGTGAAATAGAGAAAGGGTTTTCTGCTTACTCTTCTCATCTTCATAGGAACCTCCAGAACTGCTGCTGTAACGAGATTCCAGACGGTGGTGCTGGCGGTTTAGGTTGCTGTTCAGACCAGAGTAGATATCCAGGTGGGTGTAACTGTAGAACACATGTGCTTTGTTTACAAAACCTGTGCCAGCCTGTGAGTTTTTCTCCCTGAACTATTTGTAAGCTGGTGTCAGATGATAAAGAATTTAATCTTTTCATTGTTAGATTTCTTTAAACAGTTTCAAAAAGGGAAGAGGGTTTCAAACTATTCATACTTCCTCTGGATGGAGAAAAATTCCAAAGAGGTCTTTAAAAAAAAAATTTCATTTTTAACATCTTCACTGTTATTCCAACAGCAACACAGCCCTCATCTGCCACCTTTACTTTCAAGCAGCTTTTTTGTTTCTCTTTACATCTTTGCCCACTTGAACCACCAGCAGTCTGACTGTTGGTCCCTGACCTAAAGAGACACCCCCTTCAGCTAAAATTTTTACTCCAATAAAAAGAGATAAAGCTCTTCTCTCTGTTCGTCATCACTTTTATCTGGTCATGCTCCAACTGAAGAGTGGTCCCACAGATTCAACAGACAGACAGACAGACAGACAGTTTGAGAACCACTGAAGCAGGAGATCTTTTACAGGAATAATGCATTGCATATAATTTTCACATGTAAGAAATTACAATTTACAAACTGAACAGGGAGACTTTCTGATATCAGCATTGCATTTCATCAAGTAAAATGATGAAGCAAAACCACAAGATGTTGATTAGTGTTTTTAGATATTTTTCCTAAAGTTGAGGTCAAAAAGCTGATTAAAAAAAAAGATTCAGAAAGTTTGCGATTGCATTTATTGTTTTTTTATCAGTATCGGCCTCCAATACCAGCATAATTTATGTATCGTAATTTTCCGATCCAACCTGCAGAGAGTTTCGATCCATGATGCATGTCTGTGTCTGTTGAACCTTCTCATGTGATTCCCTGCAAGCTGCTCTGCAAGTTGGCATCAAACTATGGATTTCCAGATTGAAGGCGTGTCTCATGAACCCATATACATACATAAGACCCACCTCACATTCAGCAAATCTGCACAACAATGGTGGAATTAGTGATCCTCTTACCAGCTTGGCTTTTGAGATACACCGACACCCTGAGAAGCTCTTTTTATACCCAATCATGTTGTCAATTGACCTAATTAGTGTTAATTGGTCTTCCAGCTGTTCGTTATATGCTCAATTTCCTTTTTCCAGCCACTTATTGCTACTTGTCCCAACTTTTTTGGGATTTGTTGACACTGTGAAATTTTGAATCAACATATTTTTCCTTTAAAATGTTACATTTACTCAGATTAATCTTTTGATCTGTCATCTATGTTCTATTACGAATAAAATATTGACATTTGCCATCTCTACATCATTGCATTCTGTTTTTATTCACAATTTGCTTAGTGTCCCAACTTTTTTGGAATCCAGTTTGTATATATACACATACATACATACATACATACATACATACATACATACATACATATACACATATATACATATACATATACACATATATACATATACACATATATATACATATACAAATACACATATATATATACATATACAAATACACATATATATACATATACAAATACACATATATATATATATACATATACAAATACACATACATATATATACATATACAAA